AATAAATCCTTTGATGCCTGTAAAAATAGCAACATAAAAATTTTTGATCCAAGCAACTATTTTTAAAATAACTTACGACAAGGGCCTTCAGCCTCTTGGATGGTGACAAAATTTACCAGTGTGGGCTGTACGACTGCGACATCAGATGGCTTGGATCCCAAAAACTCTATCACATTATTAGACTGGATAATAAGCTCGAATGTCACCACCTGTGACGTCCCTTTCGCGGTCTTGACGTGCCCACCATCGATGTGAATGATCTGAAAAATTGTATGTTTACACTTATTAATTTTAAGGTTATGAAAAAAATGTATGAAACCTTACCCTGTTAATCTGGATGTCTTTTTGATACTTATTTATCAAGTCGCCCCACAACAAACACATGATCCTTTTTTCATTGTCGTTGTTTAAAATAAACTTCATTAGTTAGTATTGCCGTCTGTTCCGACTTCTTTGGCTCCGATGACCTCATCGACGAAGCCTATGAGCTCTCTGCAAGAAAAAAAATGTCGAAATGATCAATGTAAAAAAATTTAGACTAATAATGAGAAAGAGAAAAACAAAATTAACGATTTAAAAACTTGCAAAAAATCTAAGCGATACAAAGCTTTCTCTTGGAGAAAGTAAAATGACTTACGCAGTTTTGTCCTTATCGATCAATTCATCGAATGCCTCATTCGAAGAGTAAATGCTGTTTTCATCTGCTATTTTAGAAGACGACGATAACTAAAAGTACATGAATAATAATCTTAGTTAAGTTAAAAAGGCACACAAACCATAGAGATATAAGAGTAGAGCGCGCGAGCACCTATATCAGCAGGATAGAGAGAGAACGCTGAGAAAATTCCGAGGGTATGATACGGAATTTTCGCGGCGTTCTCTCTCTCTCTCTACACTGCGGACCGAGCTGCGGACAGTCTCATCGGCCACTCGCGCACTATATTCTTTTGTATCGCTATGCACACAAACATTATTTGAATACGGTAACATTGCTTAAATACATAATACAAAAAGCTTACGCTTGTTTGGTTATGTACACAACGTAACAAACGCACGTGTTTATTGTATATCACTACGATTACTTACAATCACAAATATAATACAAAATAAACTTTGCTAGGTGTACTTACGTTCTTATTTGAGACGAATTTCACAAATGATGTGTTTTCTCCTAGCGATTATAAAAGATTACATGCACCGGTGTACAAGTCAGTAAACGTCGATCCTTGATCAAGTTCTATACCTATACAAACATGTAGGTACAGTATGACTCGCGACTCGTGACTCGTGACAGTCACGACGCGTCTCGCCACTCGCACTCAGGCTTAATTAAAAACGCGTGGCGCCACTTACACTTTAGTCACAAACCAAGTAGTATACGTATGTGCACGGGCTTTCTATTTGTAAGTCGTAAAGAAATGTAAGAAATAATCGAATAAAGAAACATTATAAATCGTTATTTAAATTAGGTCTTATATTTGTAATAACGTATCAAAGGTTTTTTTTTTATAAACTAAATGTAATATATTCAAATTTTGAATTTACTGCCGTTCGTAAACACATCTTCACTCTCGACCAATCAGGTCAAGAGTTATTCCGACGACAGTCACGTGTAACTCTTCTTTTTATGAGAGGATATTAATGCTGAAAACTTGTTGCGTATCTAATCGCCAACGTCTGCTTGCCTAAGATCGTTTTCTACTTATCAATAATATTGAAAATCTATTGGGTTTTTAACCACTGATGTTTTCTCGCCTAAAAACATATTTCATTTATTAATGATACTAAGACCTGTTAGATCTTCAATTGCCAGCGCTTACTCTCAGTCAAAAATTTATAGCTATTATTGTGCCTATAATTTAAAGCTATGAATATAGCTGTAACTACCTATAAAACAGCCATAATAATGTATAAAATTCAGCTATAAATTACAGCTGTAATCTTTTTACAAATTTTGAATAAAAATTAGTTGAAAATCAGATTTTTTCAACATATATCGATCAGAATAGATGGTATTATCCGTATGATAACAGTAAAACTGGGGGCTTGAAGTATTTTTGAATTAGTAGAAAAAAAAACAAGAAATCATGTACAATTTCAAGTTTTAAAAAAATTGTTTAAAAATACTTTAGGACCTCAGTTTTACTGTTATCACACGGATGTTACCGTCGATACTGATCAATATATGTGGAAAAAATCTGATTTTAAACTAATTTTTATTCAAAATTGGTGAACAGATTGCAGCTGTAATTTTTAGCTATATTTATAGCTGAATTTTATGCAAAATTACAGCTGTTTTATAGCTATAATTATAGCTATAATTTATGTAGGTATAATTGTAGCTATAAATTTTTAACTGAGCTTGCCTGAGATCGTATTTAATTTATTAACAGTACTCAAATCTGTTAAGATTCTAAGTGTTGACATTTACTCACCTAAACGTTTTATATTTATCAATAATACTAAAAAACCTTTCGGATTCTTATCGGCCATGTTCACTTTGGTTCCTTATCGCTAATGCTTACATGCCTAAGAGCGTATTTTATTTATCAATAATACAAATAAACTATAAAGTTTTCAATCACCAACGCTTACTCACCTGAGATTGTACTTTGTTTAATTATACTACTCAATAACTTTTTGGTATCTAACCACCGATGCTTGCTCATCTGAGATCGTATACACTAATCAATAAGACTAAGAAATTATTGAGCTTCTAATTGCTGATGCTTGTCCGCCTAAGATCGTGTTCATTAATCAATACTACTAAGAAACTATTAGCCCTCTAAGTGCTGATGTTTGCTTGCCTAGAAGCGTATTTTATGTATTGATTATACTTAAATTTATTGGATTTTCTTATTGCCTATGCTTACTTGCCTAAGATCGTATTCTATTTATCAATAATACTAAAATCCATTACGAATATAATTGCTAACACTTACATTTCTGAGATGGTTTTTCATTTATCAATAATACTAATAAACTACTTGGTTTTTAATCACCCACAATCACTCGCCTAAGAGCTTATTTTATTAACAATACTAAAAGATAATTGGGTTCTCGCTAATGCTTACATGTCTAAGGGCGTATTTTATTTATTCATAATACAAATTAACTATAAAGTTTTAATTGCTGAAGATTACTTGCCTGAGATCGTACTTCATTTATCAACAATACTAAAAAAAATGTTGGTTTTCCAATCACCGATGCTCGCTTGCCTAAGACCGTGTTTTACTTATTAATAATACTTAAAAAACTATTAGATTCTTAAACACTGATGTTTGCTCACCTAGTAGCATATTTTGTTCATTATTAACAACAAAATCTGATGGGATTCTAATTGCCAACACTTACACACCTAAAATCGTTTTTTTATTTATCAATAATACTAATAATCTGTTAGATTTTTTGTCACTCACTTGTACTCACCTATGAGCGTATTTTATTTATGAATAATACTGAATGTGACTCCTTCAGAACTTCCACTTGCTCGTTTTATAATAACTCTAATATTATTTAGAGTTTACATCCACAATAAAACTCTACTTGGTTTTCTTGAGCAAAAATTTTTTTATTTTTGTAATAGTCAAAACTTTGTCTTGTCATGGAGACCTTTTCAAAAAAACTAAATCACTAGCTTTGCTTCTTTTCGGCTGAAAACAAGAACACTGTTTTTTCCCTGAACGCGTAAGCAGTGATCTTTTTCTCCTGAATCTGAGTTGTACTTTTTTTCAGCCAGACTATTCAGGTATGCTTATTTTCAGGTGGGCTTCTGGACTGCGCTTTTTTTCGTACAGGCCGTCAACGTTTGTTTGCAAAAAAGTATCGGCCATCAGACAGAAGACATTAAGCAAACAAAAACAGGTGATGAAGTTTACACGTTTGTAGTGTATGGGTGAGTTTCTGCGATTTGTAATACGTCATAATTTTTGGGTGCTAGCTATAAGAAGAGGCAGTTTATATTTCCTTTAGTTGGCTGTGTGCCTCTGACCGATACATATCTATTTGCTTGACCTATAAAGTGTTGTTTTGTTAACTTTCACATTGTTATTGTAACTATGACTGTAGTTATTTTACTTTCTTTCTAATAAACATTAAGAAATTGTACTTAAAAGTACCAGACGCGTTACATATCTCATTGCTGCGAAATAAGGACATCAGCCATGGTTGTAGCACTTTTTAAACTTATATAGCTTAGCAACAATAAATACAGTTTTGTTGCCATATGTCGGTGTCTGATTGAGATGTATGGGCACGTATTTTTTTTGAACATATACATTTTTACCCCTCGATTACAAAAAAGGATACTGTTTCTCGTAATTTGTTGCAAATTAATTGTTAACAACAATTTTCGTTTACAAATTCAAAAAATTAATTTTTTAGCTAAAAGAAGCTTTTACAACATCTTATAAGTTTTGAAGTGAAAAATTTCCAAATTAGAAAAGCATTCGCTATTTATAATTTTCAACTCCAAATTACTCAATCCTGACTGATCTATCTTGAACTCACTAGTGCTCAAATTGTGTCTTATTGTAGGCACTTTTAAATAATAAAAGATTTTTCATTATTTAATTATTTATTTTCACTTAACTGCGCTACTGATAATCAAAGCAAAGTCGTTTTAACACCCACAGTTTATCAATTCAACCAAAAATGTATGAGAATGAACAACTACTAATCTTTTTTATTCTAAGCTGCACATTAAAATAATTTTACTTAATTATACGAAAATCTGAAATTTTTTCAAAATTTTCAGGATAATTTAGGAGGGAGTGATCTCTTTAGTTGTTAGAGTAAATATCATCCTTCTAACCATATGTATATTATGCGATTGAAATATTGTTATTGATGCAAAATCTCGTTAAGAACATACTTACTATGCATAAAATCCATGAAAAATTCTGTAATAATAAAACTCTATCTTATCCTTATACTTTATTTGTGTAGAAACATACTCTCTTGCAATAATGCAATAAAACAAAAAAATGTATTCTAGCTAAAAAAAAATACATTTTCGATTTATCCAAAACATGAAGTCTTTTTTTGATAAAAATAAGTATTTTTAATGCTATCAATACTAATTTAGTTATTATTGTTGATTGTTTATTTGTAGAAGCATGTTTAATCAATGTCATTGGTATGTTTCTTTATATTAAAAATCGTTGTGCCTACACTGCTGGGCTTTTTAAAAAAAAGAGTGTAAGTGTATATGAATCACAGTTATAAGTTATATGTGAATGAAGTTTGTGAAATCTATTAAGTATTTAATTTTGTAGAACCAGGGTAGTAGTATATGACCGCAGGAGCCGGAAGCTGCCAATGGGCTGCATGCAACTCAATCAGTTGAAGCAGGGTTTTGCGCACCGTTGGTGGAGTTGTATCTTCATTGAGAAAGGCGTCACGTACACTGGCAAGCAATTCTTGTAATTGAGTGGGTAACTCCATCGCCAAATCTTTGCCAATGCATGTCAGTATGAAAAAAAGACAACTCGTCTGCAATTTAATAATACAATTTTTTTGTAAATGTCATGAAATATCTGAAATATTTTAAGAAGTATATTATGAGCTGGTTTTATGTATAAAAAAACTAATGCAGTAATGAATTATTTTCATTCTGTTATTATTGATACATCTATACGAATTAAAATAGTAAAAACCCTAAAGTTAAAAAACCTTAAGCTTATTTACTTCCTTATTGTATATCAAACAGTTCTTTTGGTTTTACATTTTCTGTTTGTTAAAAAAAGATTAATAAAAAAAAGTGTGCTTTAAAATTTCAGAGTATTTGCATTTGTATTAGCATTTGTAGTGTTGCAAATACAAATATTTGTTGGTAATCCTAAACCATGGAATGCTTTTTTCGTCTGAAAAGCTGCTTGTAACCTTACTGCAAATAAATGAATAATTATTTTTTTAACTTAAACAGGAAGTATAAGAATCAAGAAGCTCTAACCTAATCCAAATATAAGCAGAAAACATGAAAAAAAGGAATAAATGCATTGATGTATAACAGTTTTTTTAAATTACTCTTTGTATGTAAAATTTTTATATTATCAAAGTCAAATGTCTGAGAATCAACAAAAATAAACACGCAATTCATAAGAAAGTGCACACATTGGGTCTTAGTATATGTGTATAAGAAAGAATCTATGTTTGCCTTTTTATTTTAGATTCTCCGGTAAAATTTCAGGAGATTCAATACATTACTTTTTGAAAAAAGTCACGTATCAGATTATGCTTTGGACTGCTTTGAGTTTGGTCTCAACTGATTCCTTGAAGTACCAGCTTGTGAGCTCTTCTCGTTATTTAGGGCTTGAATAGCTAAATAACTAAGTATTAACAATAATTTCTAAGAATAGGGAAATTGGTAAAGTTCGTCAAATATACTGAATGTCCTTAAAATATACTTAATAGTAAAGTTATTTTATAAAGCTCTTGATGCATATATTCAGCATTTGCGTTGGCCTAGTATACACAGTAAGGTTAAGGAAAAAAGAGATAGGTAATGGGAAAGTATACATGGTTTTTCCGAGATCGTTATTGGGACTTATCTAAGACAATAGGAGTGAAAATCTCATTCTTTTCTTTTTTCTGAATACGTTTTATATTTCTTAAACTAAATTTGTTTTTATTTACAGGTAGGATTATTTTTTGTTGAAATTTATCTCAGTAATTTTTTCTATTGATACACATCTAATAACTTTGTTATAATTTAATTGTGGCTTATAATTTGAGACATAATTCCTCCAAAGAGCTAAGCAAATTAATTTACTTCCTAATCCTGAAACAAATAAACACTTATAAGGTCGTAAAAGTTACTTTTTTACGGAGACAGGAGTAATTGAAAGTTGTAAGAAATATATGAGCTTATATTTACGATAAAAGTATTCTCTAAAATGTGAGTAAGTCTATTTAGCCTATAATGTGATTGATATAATTAAATGTTAACGTATTTAAAATAGCATCTAAAAGCAAAGAACATAGTGGAACTATAGCAAAGTAGAAGGAGCTGTCATTAGAGCAACTGTTTGTAGAGCAACTACAACAAATGAAACCCCAGTCCCGCTAGTTTCTTCATACCGGGCGCTATCCTAGTTGGTGGACAGGCAAATGCCTTTCAGTTATCAGGAGTACTGGGCAATTCAAATATGTGGGCAGAATGATCAAAACTATCTAGAGGTAGGATCCCTGATATCAAAACTAAACAAGTCCAGGTGGCTGCTGCAGGATCCATAAATTCTGAGGGAAGAGGGTGCATAGATCTCCTGCATGATCAACAGTTACTGTTGAACATTACTTGGCTAATTCCTGATGAAGGACGAAAAACAAGCCTTTCAAATATTGGGAGTAACATCAGTAAAGATAGTAATATGACCATCTTCAGCAACCAGACGCAAAAGAAACTTGCCTCTATGGAAAGTGATGGTGTAGAGATAAGATCAAAGCAAAATCAAAAGATTAAGTAATTTCAGTCCGCAACAAGAGATATTGTAAAGATGCTCAAAGCAATCCACAAAAATCATGGAACACTGTAAATGTCGTTAAAACTAGCCTACAAAATGCTCTCAAATACCTAAAATAAGCAGAAATCATAACAAAAGACATCTTTTTTTAAGAAGAAAGGTAGAAGTCTCTTTTTAAGAAGAAAAAATACTCTAAAAAGTATTTCAAATCCTTAAAAATCAGAGAACACAGAAGAGATAATTTTCACCGTCACGTTTAGAAAAAAAACTTTGAATTGTGCTCTCAAGAAAATACAACGAGTTAACGTAAATAGGGGTCCATCAGACAGCCCTGAAGAAAACTAAAAAGCTGCGTCCTCTAAGAAAAAGAAAATAAGGAATGGCAAGTATAAAGAGGATCTGGCAGTGATAAAAGAATCAAAACGAAAAGTTCCTACTTGATGACTAAGACCTGGTAAAGGTAGATGTAGGGAAAACTTATGCCAGGGTATTTGAATCAATGGAGGCTAGTTTTAACTATGATGAGACGGGAGCTGTTGTAAAAAGTTGTTGCTATAGCAAAAAAAAAATTGTGCTTAAAAGCACGATGAGTTGAGAATGCCTCAGAATTTTATAAACATGTTAAAAAGTCAATAGCTGTCTGAGAAAAGGTGGTTTCTGCTGCATGAAAAATAATGCTCGAGGTCTGAAATCTGGACAGTATCGTTGAAATATGAGAAATCAAAAAATCCTTGAAGAGGGTCATCTGAAACTATTATCAAGATTTAAAGGTCTAACTTCTAAGAGTGAACGCTCAAGGACAAATAATAGCGTTAGAAACATTAGATGGAATGGCTGCATAGCATGTAGAGCACGTAAGCAGAATCAAAGTTGGATCTATCTTTTGCCGTGTTAAAAGGAGGCTGGCCATGACTTAATGTTTCCGATGCCTAGATTATAGATGTAGCTCTTACTCCTTCAGATTTCAAGAGTAAACTTTCTTAATGGCTACGACACTTTCCACAACAGCTCCTATCTCATCTAAGTTAAAAATTGCTCTTATGGACTGAAGTACTTCGGCGAAGGTATTCGACGTGTTCCTAACATTTCTATGGTCCCTTTGAATGCTTGGAAATCTCTCTTCCTGCTTGCCATCGCTAACCTCCTTTTTTTTTAAAAGTCACAGCTGTTTAACTTTTTTCAGAGCTTTTGGAAGGACTTCTATTTCTTTCGACACGCTCTACTTCCTTAAGGTGGAGTTCAGAGTTTTCCTGTAAACATGCCATCTGATTTTTTTTCTATGATTTCTGATTTGAAGGGGTACAAAGTACTCCTTTCATAATTCACAGTGCTTTGTTTCTTCACTAAGAACGTATTCTCTAATAGTTTCTGCTGATTCCAGGTGTTTAAGAGCAGTTTTAAGTCCAACCTTAAGAACTTTAGCCGTGTTACTATATTTCTGTTTCATGGCTTCAAGCACCTTTCAGTCTTATTTGTTGACAATTGAACTTGCTCTATCTCTTTATTTCGTTTTAGTCGTAGGTTTGCACCATTTTTTTCATGTAAGTGACCTTACTTTGCGTCTAGTTGCTAATCAGCTGTCTGAGGTTTAATAATCCTGGTTAACCACTTAAGTCGTACTTCTAGCCCACTTTTTCAGAACCTGTGGAACCTACGATAGTCATTCAGGCTTTTTCGAGACTCTCTCAGAGACGTTTTAGATTGAGGTTTATGTTTCTTATTAATGTTTTTCATTGTAGTATCTTCTTTTTTAGTGTTACATCAAGGCTGCGCTTGACGTACCTTTTTTTCCTCTCGTCCTCTTCTTATCCTCCTCGTAAAGCTGATTTTTCGTATCAAGCTAAATGACATACACTCACACATACACGAAGTACCGAAGCTAAGGCGTCGTGACACACATACAAGGAGAGACCGAGTAAGACAAAGAAGAACTAGTCTACATCACTCTCCCTCCTTGTGCGTCAATATCGCTTGATGAAACTTAATAATTATTTTCTATCCTTTTTCTCTTCTGTGTCCTAACCATTCGTAAATAAGCCGACGCTCGAGCCAGGATGTTGATCCACACATTGGCTAGCGTTCATGCAACGAAACTTGACAACAGCATGCTACACTTCTACCATTTTCTTTCCCTAACACTTACAATACCCGGAGACGCTAAGCCGAAAAATAACGTGAACTGTAATACGACCTAATTTTAATAAGCAAGCATTGGGACCGGTATTGTTACTATACTATATTCTTTAGCAAGTAAGTGACACCCCAAAACCAAAACAGCATACGTAAAGAAAGACGGAAAACATATACGAAATCTTTCCCTCTCCCTGCCACGAGATGATGCAGACTAATTCTAAGAACCTATGTGCATCTCGTCGACTCTGGCCATAGTGGCAATGATAAGGAGGCAAGATCTACGACTACATAAGCCCATGGCCTCCTGGACGAGCAGCTTAGTCTCAAAAAAATTCGTTCAATGGTCAGGCCAGCTTGGGTGTATACCTAGAGCAGTAGCCAGACTAAAGGCACACGACCTGGAGAACCCGGTCCATGCATTCAATGGTCAGGCCAGCTTGGTAAAACACCAAGAGCAGTAGCCAGACTAGAATACACGACCTGGAGAATCCGGTCGAATTCTATTTGTGACCTGGAGAATCCGGTCTACAATTTCGATTTAAATTATATCCAGCCACCCGGATCTTGCCTCGAGAGCCACTTGTACCCCCCCTTTTTTTCTTCTTCTTTTAAATAAAAGTAAGTAATGATATTTTTTAAACTTGATATTTATACATCCACCAATAGTTGTTTTTCTTTTCGCGTAAAATCTACTATTGCGTGCCGTTCAATCTAGATATTATTGGCCAAGCAGGTGGTGAAAAAAAAGATTTTAAGTCAAAAAATATTTTAAAGGTAAAACAACGCTAAGTTGTGTGCCAGTAGGTGCAAATGCCCATGGCCAAACAACTAGCACCTACGTAAAAATCAAGTTGTGTGCTGGTTGGTGTAAATGCCGATGGCCAAACAACTAGCCTC